CGACGGGTTGTTATTTCGATAAGTTCGAAATAACCCCCTTTAAGGCCAGAGGCCTTCGCCATCAGAAAAATAAAGGTTCAACCTCGATCGAACGACAATGGGTTGTTATTTCAATAAGTTTAAAACAACACCCTTTAAGGCCAAGGGCTTTCGCCATCAGAAAAAGAAAGGTTCGACCTCGATCGAACGACGACGGGTCGTTATTTTGATAAGTTCGGAATAACACCCTTTAAGGCCAAGGGCCTTCGCCATCAGAAAAAGAAAGGTTCGACCTCGCTCGAACTACGACGGGTTGTTATTTCAATAAGTTCGAAATAACCCCCTTTAAGGCCAGAGGCCTTCGCCATCAAAGAGAAAGAGAGGTTCGACCTCGCTCGAACCACGACGGGCTATAATTTCGATAAGCTCAAAATAACACCCCTTTAAGGCCAAGCACCTTCACCGAAAAGGAAAGAGTTCGACAACCACCGGAGGAAAAGAAAAACCGGGACTCGTCGGGCGAGCCCCTGTCTTGCACCACGACCACGAATAGCTAGAATAAAATTGACGTACAAGGAAAATAGTGAAGAGGAAAACTTTTATTTATGCAATGTCATAGTTCGGGCTATCGCCGCTTACATATGGACCAGGCCAACCAATAAAAAAAAAGAAGAAGAAAGAAAAGACAGAACGAACAGACGCCAATCAACAAACGAAATAAAAATAAAAAACAAAAGACCACATTATTCATTCGGTGTCATCACCGCCATCATCATCACCACTGTCATCACCATCTCCACGAGGTTCATCATCATCACCATTCGCACCCCCATTAGCTTCGGGTGTCACCGCATCGTATCCACAGTTGATGCGAGTCTCGCGAGCTTTTACTCGCGCTTCTTCATAAGAAGCCTCAGCCACGGTGCTTGCTTCCCACAAACCGTTATATATGTCCCACTGGGCTTCGGCATAAACCCAGAGCTTATGCACTTGATGGGGAACGGCATCGGAAGACGATTCAACCTGAGCCTTTAGTCGCTCATTCTCCGCCTCCAGGGTCGCAACCCGATCCCCCAAAATCAAAGCCTCCTGATCAATCGTGCTAATCCGCTCCTCGAGCCTCGCCTCCATAAGAGTAGTTGTCGCTCTCTCCGACTCCTGTTCAGATTGGAGAACGCGGATAGTGTCCTCCAGGGCCGCCGCCCTCGCCAAAGCCTCAGACCAGGCTCTCTCAATATTCTCCAAACTAGCAACCTTGCTCTCCATCGCGGTTAACTTCCATCTCCACTCTGTGCTCATCGACTCAACTCGGACCAAGTTCGGGTCCATCTCTGACTGCATAGACCTCAACTTGCCCTACAAATGCTCACACTCTGCAGCAATCCCCTTACCCAATTCAAGCTCTTCGTCCTTGATGCAGAGTTTCTCCTCAAGTTCGCTCTTGTTACGGATCTGCATCAATTCCTGATCCCTTTTCTCCAACTCCTCACCAAGAGCCCGGTTGCGGGGATCTGTCCTCAACCGCTCGTGCATCTTGCGACATTTGTCACAGTAACGCCGGTACTTCTTTAGCATCTTCAAGAAGATCCTTGCCCGGATGTTGGCCCTACGAATGTTTTCCACTTCCACCATGTATTTCTGAAAATCATAAAGACGGGGTTAAGCTAATGCTTTCGAACAAGGGAAAAGATTAAAGCGAGAACCAAAGGCAACGTACCCTCAAACCCATAACGGCCACCTCATCCCTCAACTTGGCATTAGGGGTATCCCGAAGGGACTTATTCTCAGCTTCTGAACATAATAGGTTGAACTGCGGCACCAGATCCTCCCATTCCACCAAGAGGTTAACGCCTGAAGGGATCTAAAGAATACGGGCCAAGCTCCCCGCATGAACCGTCGAATGAGTGAGACCCTCCTCGAACATCCTAACATCATCAGGATCCAGGTCTGACTTCGACTCATACTCGTCAATCGCCATGCCTTTTCCCCTTCCGTTTCCAAAGGAGGAGCGCGACCCGCTGCATAAGAGGAGGGCACGTCTGACGTCACTACAGCGGTGCCTGAGGTCTGGTTATATGCCACGACAAGGCGTTGATCGCCAGTAACAACAGGAACTTCCGGCTGAGCCGTGATGGTGGCCGTAACAACACCTTCTCTTGAGCCCGTCGGGGTAGAATCATCCAAGTGAATCACTATCGGAGGCGCCATGTCAAACTCTACTCTCCGTCTCTTCGACGACCCTTCCTCCTCTCCAGTCGACAGTGACTCGTTCGTAGGACGGACGTCATTGGTCAGGACCTCGTCCTGAGAATCGGCCCTCGCTGGAGTAACTAAGGCCCCAGATTCAACTGAAGCAGCCCTCGATGAAGGGCATACAGTGGGTACAGCAAAAAGACGAGCGGATGCGGCTGGCTGGCGAAAGGCTAGCTGAGGGGCCCTTACTCTCCGCACCCTCCCTGACAACAATGAACAATGCATACAAGGCCGAACAAAAAAAAAGAAAAGAGGAAAGACAGTAAACAGTGACGCCATCTCACCTGTAAGAGGCCTGCGTCCAAACCTCTCGTGAAAAGTCGACTAGGTGCGAAATCCCACTATGTGGGGAAGAATGGCCTCCACCCATTCACGAATCCCTTCGACAGGTGGCGGGGGAAATCTCTCAGCTGCAGAAAAATAGAGCAGTTTAGCATTCATAGAAAATTGTAAAACATTTCATTAATTAAAGATGCAAACTTACGGGCAAAGTTCCATCTCTAGGGGAATCCCGTCGGGTCTGCCACAATATGTTCGGTCCGCACATAAAAATAATTTTCATAGAAACGATGGTGAGTTCTGTCGTCCATCTTCACCACCAGGCTCCTCGATCCTCGAGGACGCGCGTGAATCATCGTACCTCGAATCAGTTGTGGAGCAAAAATTCTAAGCATATGGCCCAAAGTGACCTCACGACCGGCAAGTTCTGCATACTTAAGCAGCATAAGAAACAACTTGTACAAATAAGGCGAAAGCTGAGCAGGGCACACCTCATAGTGACGGCAAAAATCTACCACCAACATGGGAAGACGAAGTGTGTACCCTACAATGAAGGGGTAGGCGTAGAACACACAATATCGGGGGCGGTCGAAGTGAGCTCTGTCGTCCCCCTCCGCCGGCCGCATCTCGATGAAATCGGGGATTCCCCACAATTCCCTCAAATCTACAATTCCCCTTTCTCTTACAACGGAAGCGACAGGTTCCGGCTCCGCTCCACTGCCGAAACTGAAGTCAGTCGCGTCCCTCCCGGGGCGAGGCAGAATTTCATCTACCGAGGGAACCTCTTCATCCTCCACCGCATCCACTTCTTCGACGATCTAAACGGAACTCTCTGGCACTGAATTAGCGGTAGGGAGATTATCATGAGAAGAATCACGAGCCATTTGTAGCAAGAAAACTCTCCAAGAGATGCGATACGAAGAAAAAAAGAAAGGTTTCAGTGAGCAAGAAGGTAAGCAAGAATTCGAGGTATCAGAGAAAGTGATATCTTAAGAATTCCCTCAAACGAATGTTGAAGTGTATCAATCAAATGACAAGTTCCCCTATTTATAAGAGACATAAATTCTCCAAGCACGAAACCCAAGAGTCGCCATTTGAATCTGATGGGGCACAAAATGTTTCAGTTTCCCAGGAACGTGTATCATAATGGTGGCATACACGAACTAACACTTCATTTAACAAACCGGCTTTTCGACTCTGAAACCATCCCAACGATCCACGAGTGCCGAAAGAACACCTCCACTCCGCCAAACAATCCATAGAACGCGACTAAGGAACGGATAATTGGGGGTTAGATTCCTCTCAACTACGCTGCAAACATGATCCGTCCGTCGAGCCCGACAAAGGACGACCCCGACGGACGGAGGGACTAACTGTATTGGTCAAAATCTGACTGCCATGACCAGGTTACCCACGACCCTTTTTTAGCAATCGGGTAGTGGAAGTCAATAGGGTCCACTTCATTTCTCCTCCAAGATATCTGACACCTC